TGGTTTGTCCGGAAATCTTAAAGGTGAAGACTATGCTATAGCCTTATACAGCACTCCATGAACATGTCCATGTCGTCACCTGAGTCGCCTGGACCCTTGGTTCCCCAGCAAGGTGAAGATCGGTACCTGATGCTGCGCGAAGTTTGGTAGGTCCTGGCAACCACGGTGACCACATTTGAAAGATGTTGAGTGGTTTACATAGTCTAATCATATAGGATCCATGGTGCTGGTATATATGCTAACATTTGGGGTATATTGATGGTAAACGTTACCATATATAGCATACATGGATCCTATATGATCCGTCATGGGATAGTGGTGTACCCTCCCGGTGTCCTCATGCTTGGGCGAAGCCCCTATATTTCATAGGGAAAATCATCTATGCACAATGGACTTTCCATTGCCATGTTTCATGTTTCGGGCTTCCACAAATATAGGACGCTCAGTGACTCAGGTCACCACGCTCCCAAAAAACATCCCCAGCGAAATTCAAGAACTACCCTCTGGTAAACTAACATAGCTATTGAAAATGGCCATTTATAGTGAGTTTTCCCATTAAAAATGGTGATTTTCCATAGCTATGTTAAATTACCAGAGGGTAATCCCATCCTCTCATCTTAAACGCAGCACCGAAAAAAACATGCTGGGGATCTAAGTCATGACCTGCGGTCCACCAGGTCCTGATCCAAGTTCGCCAGGGAATTGGGATCGCGGCTCAACTGGAGACGTGAACAAAGGGACGAAGAACAACAAGGGCTTCACGGCACGGCACTCAGCTGGAAACTTGAAACATCTCTTTAGGTTAGCTTTAAGAACCACTTCTGAGCCCTTTTTGCTCACAAACCATATATTTATAACATATCATACCACAAAAAAACATACCTACACCTAACACTACATACTGTATTATATATATAATATTATATAATGGCGTATGTTACCTAACCACCACTATATTTATATATACCTACACCATATATATACCAAACCCATCCTTATCCGCCTGGTTGTAGACGCCTCGCAGGGTCTCCCCAGTGGAGGTCCGCCGGAACTGGCCGTAGAATCCACATGGCTTGATCGTGTTTTCCCAATTACCATCTGGTGATGACTAACATCGCCATGGAAAATCACAATTTTTAATAGGTAAACCATCTAGAAATGGGCCATTTCCCATGGCTATGTTAGTCATAACCAGAGGGTAAATGTTGATCATTCATGAAGAACATGTTGACACCATTTTTTTTTGGGGAAAAATGATCATGTTGCTATTGAGTGATCATGATTGAAGATCATTTTCGAACAGCATGGGAATGACTTTTGCAGTAATCATGATTCAAGATCATTTTTGATAAATAAAAATGTTGACCAGAAGTGATACAGTATCCCAAGTAAACTAAGTAAACTAACTAGTACCATTCAATGTTCATCATGCATCCCCTATTTTCGAACAAACACTTTGGTTTTTTCAGCACGCTTTTGGAATCAGGGCTGCCAGGTCGATGCAGGCCACAAAAATGCGTTTTGCTGCAGTTTAAGTCCAAAAATCAGTTGGAAACTATAATCATGTATATAATGTGTATATATATATAATTATGTATATCTATGTATATATAATCATCTATATATATATATATATATGTAGATATTGACTTCCCAATGATCCTCTTGACTTGTAATATGTTCATAGGCCCTAAATTTCGTTCGCGTGGTTTTGATTCACGACATTGACGACGTGTCCGTCCTCCACCAGGTCAACCACAAAGAGGGCAGAGATGTGATACCTGGGGCAGCGGATCTGGGGGAAAGCCTCTGGTCATGTTTTAATATATTTTATAGGGAATTATAGGGATTTATAGGGATTTATAGGAATTTATAGGGATTATAATGCGATGATAATGGCATTATATAGAATGGGAAATAATGAGATATACCCTCTAGATCCCTCTGGTCATTTCATAAGATAGTAAAATAACAAGGAAAATCCAGCCAATTAAAAGAGAAACATCATCTATCTATGAATGGCCATGTTCCATAGCTATCTAAAATTACCTTGGGGGACGGGTTCCTTACTACTGAACCAACAATTTTGCTGCCGGACTGGGACATTCATAAATCTTCCAACAGCACACGGCTCTAGTCCAATCTGACTTCCACAGACTGGATTCGCCAGAAAAGGTGTGCAGTGAAAGGATCCAAAGGATGCCTCTATATCCAGCTAGTCTCAGTTCTTTGAAGATCTCTGAGACATGTATCCTGCGCTGTGAAGAAACAAAGGACACCAGCCAACCTCGAAATGTTTGAAATCATAAAGTCGGACTTTGTAAATGGAGCTTCCCGCTACAGCAAACAGCATGATGTGCCCGGTGCCCAGGGCCCCCAACGGCATGGTACCCAAATGGCTTTTCCAATAGCCTTGCTTCCAAAAGCGAAAGCCCTGGCATCAAGGAACTCACAACTGAATCCACTAAGCCCAGGGCAACGACCACATGAATGCGTAGCTCCATGGACTATGAAAGGAAAGGACGAAATATGAAGTTTTGAAACCGAAATTCAATGCCCATCATTCGGTTATAGCAAACATAAACCATACATCACATTATATGTATATATATATACACGATATCTTAAGATATATAATGCAGTAACAGCCTCCAACATGTTCAATCTGCCACGATGCAAAAACAACAAAATGAACAAAGCCCACAGCATTGTAACTTGCCGTTGCCTCGGTGTCAGGATTGGAATCACCCATCGGCACGAAACCATAGACTTTTCCCTGAGGCATGGGAGGTGAAAAGGGTCAAACCATAGATATACGGCAGACAGGGTAAACTCAATAATTACATACCCTCTGGTAATTTAACATAGCTATGGAAAATCAACATTTTTAATAGGAACACAATCTATAAATGGGCCATTTTCCATAGCTATGTTAGTTTACCACTGGGTATATGGGACAATATTAGAAGAAACACAGTAAATTATGGGAGAATGATATCCGACTATGGAGCGAATACATGAATCAGTGGGATAATCATGCTGTATCAGTGTATCATAGGATAGAACCCCCAAGTTGGGATAGCGTAACATACTCCCAGCTGATGGATTCCTGGGACAGTTTATCATTGAATTCAGACATTGCCAGTAAAACGGAAGGTTCAAGGTTCAAGCACGTTGAACCAGATTCAAACAACCAAGGTGGTTACCATGGCATCATGGTTAAACCTGGATTATCATGGTTTAACATGGTTAATAACATGGTTAAATATGGTTTTTCATTCGGTGGAATGAATGAACAAACTTGGAACGAAAGGGAACCAATGATTGGCCAATCTGTGGGCCATGTCTTCATGTCTTGCCGCAAAAAGAACATCATCCTATACTACGTATGGAGTAGCATAGATGTATACAGATTCATATCACATTATATATCATGATATAGTTTCATATCATATAAAATCATATCACATATTAGATATATTATCACCTTTTTTTTCACATTTCTACCATTCAGATATTTTTAGCCTGTGGCTTCCCCCGCTGATGCTCCGGTTTCACGAGGTTTCACGATGCACCTGCAGATCCAAGTCCCAGAGCTCCTTCACATCCGCCCGCACCACCTGTCGGCTGGAGGTGAGGCATGAAACGGTTGAAGCCCTTAGAGAAACGATGGATGGATTGTCTATGTAAATGGATGCTTTTTTTTGGATTCTGTAGCTTAAGAGGAAAACCAGCAAGCTAACTATGCTGCAACAGTTCTAATCATTTTCATTTGAAATGTATACACGTATATATATATAATATACTACAATATATATATAATTTAGTATCTATACAAAATACATACATGGTTCCTGAAGTTCTGATGACATGTGACTTTCCGCGTGTTTAACCAACAACCATGGACATCCATGCGCAACCTGTCGGAAATGCATAGCCCCCTTGTCTTCTGTCCGATTCGCCCCGCAGCCAGGGCTGATCATTGTATGAAATCGAAGACTCAGCGACGAAAAATGCCGCTGTGAGACACCTAGAAACCAATCTTCTTGGTTCGAGACAGTGGTGCCCAAAGGGACCACCATTGGCAAGTTGGGGCAACCCTTCAGAGCGGCCATGACATAACTCCCTCAGCTGCATCTAGGCACCTGATCCGCATCGATGAAAATGATCTTGGGCACGTCTTGTGGAAAGAGCACCTGGTTGGTCAAGGACTCACCGCTTCAAACCACCCCAGCAACACGGCACAAAAAACATCGACCAGAACCAGGATCACAAGCACCAGAAACAGGATGACGAAATCATGAGAAGATCCCTCTTTGATCCAGAAATATGTATCAACCGTCAACCTCATGTTTGGTGATAACAACAATACCTGCCAAAACCAGTCAAACAACCAATGGTTTCCTGTCAACTGCAAGGCATCAAAAGCAAGGGCACATCTAAGAAGAGGATCTTGTAGGCCCAAATTAACCGCTGCTTTTCACCTTGGAGGCCAGGGGCTGTGGTTGAGCTGTAACTAAAGACATTAGGTGTCCTGGTGTCCTCAACCAACGCAGAGCCGCAAAAAAATGCGGAGTGCAGTGGATCTTTTTCATTTCTGCCCATGGGATTACTTATTCTAAGAAAGAAACAAATACCTATACATTAGATAATCAGATAATCATTAGATAAAGATAATTTTCCGATCCTTTCGGATCTTTTCAAATAAACTCTATTTCGACATTGGATATGTTTAAAATACGAACAGTTATCATTTGGTTTACCACAATATATGTATTATATATGTATATATATTATAATGTTTTCTCAAGAACAACCGTAAAGGAGACAGGCCAAAGAAGGAATATGATGGACAATGATGGAATATGCAAACAGTTGGAATCCTCGCTTTATACTTTCCGTCCTGAGCTGCTTACTTTGGGGATTCAGCCAAGAAGGCCACTTGTAGGTCACAAAGTCATACTTGAAGTCGTACCTGTCGCAGGAATCTGTTGAAGATTGTTGCTTGACATAAATGGTGGGAATAAATAATGCAGAATCAGCGATATCTCAACAATATATCAACATAGATCAAGATAGATCAACTACAAGTAACATATATCAACATGTTGTACTCTCAACACTTGAATGGTTGAACACATTGACATACGTACATATAATAAACATCAAAACAAACACATATAATACAACATATTTTATAACATATTAAATGGTAGCACATTTCTTACAAACAATAAAACATACTGTATGAAATCACCAGCCAATCCAGCCATCGCCCGCATGCCATCGCCCGGCCAGCGCCTCTGGGCCATCATTGGAATGAATGCCTGCAGCGATCGTAAATCCCGTAGAGTCGTGGAGTTATCATGAGTTATCCAAGTTAGAACTTCTATGTAACTGGGTTATCACTAAGGTTATCACCATGTTATCACTAAGGTTAGTGACTGTTAGGGACCACCCAGCACGTCAATCTGGTGGATGTGGCTTTTTGGCCTAGCACGTCGGGATTTTATTTCCAGTAGGATGGATGAAGTTGTGAAACCACCAAGCACTGAATTGGAGACTTTGTGTTGGAGAAAACGGAGAAAAGTCACGGTCACCGGAAAGCCCTTGGAAATTTAGCCTCTGGTTATGTCAAAATAGCTATTGAAAATGACCATTAATAGTGGATTTTCCCATTAAAAATGGTGATTTTCAATAGCTATGTTAAATTACCAGAGGGTAGCTAAGGCAAAATTCTTTGGCGACTAATTACCTCTCTAGAAACCTCCTGGCAAATTGCTTGAGGCAAGTCTCACATCAAGTCTCCTCAGTCTCCAAAAAAAAAAAGGGTGCGTCTGGCAATCAGATATTCCCAAATAAAGAAATTTTGGTGATACCCTCAGACAAACCCAATGGCATCCTTGAACTTGGGCGACAGGAAGTTGTCAATGAACCAAAAGTGCAGCGGGTTCTGGGTGTTGTTCCTGACCTAAGGATTCAATTGGAGACAGCGGATGCCACATCATGATGCTGGCCAAACAGGATCACACGGATCCACCATGATCCAAACATGATTTGAGAAGGGACCAAAACTAAGGCTCTTTTCTCATGGACCTTTTAGGTTTTTAATTGTTTTTTCTCGTTGATTTCAGGATTCCTCCGCAACAAACCAAGATGTCACCAATGTCACGTCAAAACTCGGTTGTCGGAGTCAGATTATCTCACTCTAAGAGGATGAGTGTGGCATGTTGCACCGGAAAAACGGTATCCCAACATCCATCCAATCCTCCCTTAAATGAGGTCCGAAAAATCGGTAGTACCCCCCCAAAACCAGGTTTACCATCATTTTCCCTCTCAAAATGGCCATGGTATAGATCCGATATCCGAATCGTCGGGAACCACGCAACCAGTGGTCATGGTTGGGTCAGTGGTCCTGGCTTCCACGCAGAGAGGATCATGATGCCCAAGAGCTTCTCATAGAGGTGTCCACTGGCCACCTGAGAGAATCACATCATCCAAGTCATGGATGACCATTTTCGTGTTGTTGAAACCTATATGGTTTTGGGGATCCCCCATTTTAGGAAACCTCCATGCGTGGTCGAGTGAACATGGACAAGGATGAGAGAAACCTGTGGTGAAACGGCATGAAAGAGCAGACCACAGGAACCACAAGACGGTGACGAAATGCTTGAAACAAGAAAGTTTTCACTACGACATGTGCGCCAAATGCATCAAAACCCACGGTTTCGTGTGCCAACTTGGCCAACTTGGTACGTCCTGAGGGCAGCACACTGAAGATGTGGATGGTTTCCCTTGGCACAGATCCAATTCCCTGGATCCGCTGGATCCCAGAAGTGTGAAGTTTAGATGATTTTAGATGGCTTTGAAATGCCAAGGGAAGATACCCTAGGTCAAAAGCCTGGTTAGTTACCTAGTTTTTTCGGGTAGACAAAACCAAAATAGCAGGTAAGTTGAAGTTTAATGAAGTTTATCCCCCATTTACCAGCTGGTTTGATAGTTATTGACCCATCCTCAGTGCTGGGGTTTCCACTCTCCATCGGATGCCTCAATGCTGGAGCCGAACAATGGACAGAAAGATAACTAAGTGGGTTTATGGGCAGGTTATAGCAATCTCCAACAAAATAGAAAGATGAAATCAAACATATCAAATTGACTCAAGTGGTGATGAATTACTTTTCTATCGTTTTGAGGGTTACTATAGGTTAAACCTCGCGTATGTTGGTGTTATGGTAGATTTATCTACAATGGGTTTACAAACCAACTTATAACTGGGGGGCACAGGCATGCAATCACACGTATATCAAATCTCAACAACGAGCCCCGCCAAGAATTGGCCTGGAAAATGATTCAGAACATCACATTCAAATGATTTTGCTGGATATGGTCATGTGGAGGTTTCCTGAAATAGGGGTACCCCAAATCATGCAAGTCATTCGACCATTTTAATATTGAAACCCATGGTTTTGGCGTACCCTGTTAAGAACCCCCCACGTCTGGCTTCCATGTCAGATGTCAGATGTCAGATGTCAGAGTCCTTAAAGTCCTGGCCTTCACGACATTGCCTGCTCCCTCACCGCCGAGCAAAGACCTCGCAGCATGATATTCATTTTCAGATTCTAAGAAACCTCTGTGTGTGTTCACAATATGTCATTCTGTTGTTTTTTCTGGTTCGGTTGGGAGGATTCTCGTTTCATGGGTCGCAGAATCATTCAGAATCATTCACATATAATTCATGTATAATCATTCGGAATGATTCAGAATCCCCAACAAACCAGCTATGTGAGTCTCCACCCTCCAACAGAGTCCCTGGTTGTCCCTGCAGAAATGGGCCCAGACTGCAAGGCACCAATGATGGACCTTGGCAAGAGTCTGAAGGTAGCCAGGGGATGAAAATACCATCACCATCCATCACTTTCCTGTTTCCCCTCAAGAACTTTGCAAAAAAAATGCACCAAAAATCGAAATCAACATACTACGTTACTACATCATGCTACTACGTCGATGCAAGTTTTAGGTCCAAGATCTTTTTACACAACCCGCACGTGCCGTGATTTTTAGTACTGCTGAGTCGTGATGAACACGAGCCGCAGCCAGCCACCGGGTCTCCTGGGTCCCACTGGGTCCCACCACGAGCCGCTCTTGTGGCTTTTCTTCGACGCTTTACCCTGGAAAAACCCGGTTTGGAGCTGATCATGCAGAGGTCAACTGCTGGAATCACAGATATTTCACAGAGGTCATCTGATGTTTCTGCTAGCGGCAAAGATTCACAGAAGGTATCCAAAGGTGATTGCTGAAAAGTTGGGGACAGCCAACATCAGAATCAGAGCTAGGTAAACTAGTCATAACTACGTATTCATAACTAATCTATTTCCTGGGAAACTGGCAAAACCTATGGTTAAGGTATCCCACAGCCACACACCAAAGTGTTGCTTCTCGGTGGTAATGTTGCCCCAACTTCATGAACCCACCCTCTGCATTTCCATTCGCATTCCTGGAGATCTATGTAAACAAAATAAATATGCTTCTTATCTCAAACATGGATTTGGAAGATGTGTCGTGACAGAATAGCCACATCATCAACCAATCTGTGCCAGAGTGTGCCAGAGTCCCATGCATCCAAAACCATGCAATTTCAATATATCGAAACATGTCGAGATGGCTTGGCCAAATGGGGGGACCTCAAAATCACCCAACTGATTGGTCTGTCTTTAATGAGGTAAACTCACTTTATAAACCCGTCCCCAAGTCATCACCATCTTTATGAGTTGTATGCTTACCATCCCCAGTCATGGTAGGTATATGGCATTGGTTTTCCCACATTATAACAAAAATATGCAGCATAAGTTGCTTTATAAACCGCACTCACAAATTTTTAACTATATATAGATATCTACCATAAACCATAGTTAATCACCATTAAGCATCATTGAATCCCCTTTAATCACCATTAAATCCCCATTAAACACCATTAAATCCCATTAATCATCATTGAATCCCCTTTCAACACCATTAAATCCCAATTAAACAGCATTAAATCCCCTTTAAAACACCATTAAACCCTCATTAAACACCATTAAACACACCATGGTCAGCTGTCGCCTCGAAGAGATCCTCGTGGCTCTTGCCCGGACGCATCTTCACCCGCAGCTGATGGGGCGGCGTGATGTAGGATGACACCTGGACAGGAAAAAACAACCGCGGCCTGGGGGAATGGAACGTTGACCTATTTGGTTTTGTTCAAATGGTCAATAATAAAAATGGTGAAATATCATGTTTGTTGATTATTAATGATTATTGCTGATTACTAACCCATAGGATCCATGTATGCTATATATGGTAACATTTACCATCAATATACCCCCTTTATGTTAGCATATATACCAGCACCATGGATCCTATGGGTATGGTTTTCTTCAAATGGTCAATAATAATAATGGTGAAATATCATGTTTATTGATTATTAATGATTATTGCTGATTACTAACACATAGGATCCATGTATGCTAAATATGGTAACATTTACCATCAAGATACCCCCTTTATGTTAGCATATATACCAGCACCATGGATCCTATGGGTATGGTTTTCTTCAAATGGTCAAAAATAATAATGGTGAAATATCATGTTTGTTGATTATTAATGATTATTGCTGATTACTAACACATAGGATCCATGTATGCTAAATATGGTAACATTTACCATCAAGATACCCCCTTTATGTTAGCATATATACCAGCACCATGGATCCTATGGGTATGGTTTTCTTCAAATGGTCAAAAATAATAATGGTGAAATATCATGTTTATTGATTATTAATGATTATTGCTGATTACTAACACATAGGATCCATGTATGTTAAATATGGTAACATTTACCATCAAGATACCCCCTTTATGTTAGCATATATACCAGCACCATGGATCCTATGGGTATGGTTTTCTTCAAATGGTCAAAAATAATAATGGTGAAATATCATGTTTGTTGATTATTAATGATTATTGCTGATGACTAATGATATTTGTACGTATATATAATCTACATATTACAATAATGTATGGAGGTTGCTGAACATGCGGGTACCTCCAAATCATTCAAGTCATGGAAGACCATGACTCAGTATCTATGGGATTGTCATGGAGACATCCTTCTTTTGGTGACAAAACCCTGATGGCTGCAACTTCAAGATCTTTAAGCTACCGTATAGTCCCCAACAAATTGTAGATTTCCCTTCACGAAAAAATATGAAAAAATAACAAAAACACTTCTATACTCTCGCAAGAAACAACAATCCCTGTATTAAAATCTTCAATTTGATCCAATTTCCCAAAATCTCCAAAAAAATCAGACAAATCGCGGATCATCCTGAAAAAAAACACAGAAAATGCACCACTTTTCAGCGTTCCTCGCAGCCGCTCCAGCGCGTTGCACAGCTTCACAAGGTCCTCCACCGAAAGCTCCGCCACGCGCATGGCGGGATCCAACTGTGCACCACCCAGGGCTACGCGCCAGCGGGACCTCAGTTGAGCCATTTGATCCAGGGGAAAATCCCAGGGAAAGTCCTGAAAAAACCGTTGAACATCCAGAAACAATGCAAAGAAATTGTATCTCAACTCATCGTATGTTTTGGAATGATGTAATTTTCACATATGTTGAAACTCAAAGTAATAAGGGGCCAGGAAAGTGTGTCCCGGAGCCAAACTTCTGTCCATATGATCCATATGTATATCATAGGATTCAATCAAGCCAGTTCCTCTTATCCTTGGAATCGTGGCCGGTGTGGTCTCAGCCGTGGGTTGGATCCCCATCGGAATCATGGTCTGTTGCAGACATGGCTCGAAGATCTCGCCAGCCCAAAACCACGAAATCCGGATAGCGGGTATTTCCCAGCCCGACACCTTTCGGAATATGTTTGATGTTACCAACTTCATCCAACTTCTACCTTGTTGGGGGTTACATAGAGTTACATTATATTACTTACTGTACAGTATTACTTATTTGTAAATCACCACTGCTCCATGTATGGCATATTCACCAACATTTACCCCAAGCATGAACCAACATGTAAATAAATAATATACCAAGAAAAATCGGAATTCAGATAAAGATACCATGAGCCATGATCAAGATAGTTTTTTTGTTGCCGAGATTTTGAGAGCATAGGACACACCAACCTGAGCAGTTGTGCATATTTGTTCATTGCCGGAGGGTACATCCGTTAATATTCAACCGTTAAATCCACGGTAAGATAGATATATACATCCGTTAATATTCAACGATAATCCCTATCAAACCATATTAATTGTATGACATGATGATCTGTTTAGACATTGTTTAAACCATACCCATATGAAACTAGCGCTTTCTCCTATGTTGATCTATATTGGCCATTAATATCCTATGATTTTCCTATGGAAACTATGATTATTCCATTAATATCCAATTGCCGCAATCGTCCCTTTAATTACTAACGGCATTTCATGGTATATCTATCCCATTCATTCCAATGTTGTCCCAGTTTTATCCCTATTCAACCATAGATTATCCCATGATCATTCCTATTAAGCCATATATATATAATATATTTAAACATGCATGATTATATTATATATATATGGGTATGGATCAATCCATTTTTAGGGGGATGAACATCCATTTACCAGCTATTTTGATGTTCACCAGGGGTACAAGGTTTTGACACAGTGCCATATGATAATCTCCATTTAAAACATATTTAAACCGTTTAAAAATCTCTGATTCAGGGCCAAGTCGCGGCAGCTCCTCCGCCCACGGATCCAGCGCCGTCTCCAGCGCCGCGTCCTTCGAGGTCTTGGGGCCAAGCAGCGCACGGAGCGGAAAGGCTCCAGGTGCTGCGGACTGCAGGGAGGTACCTCTGGGAGATCCCAAGTGTGCCGAAACATGGGATTTGTGCGGTTTTTTCCCCACCTGCCAGGTGAGGGTTGTTAGATAAACAGAGCTGTTCTCCTCCTCCTCCGCCTCCTCTGCCTCCTCCGCCTCCTCACCCGCCGCCTCCTCCTCGCAGTCCAGATCCCAGTGGGCACAGCCGGACCTCAACCGCGAGCTCCAGATCCCAGTGGGCACCGCCGGACCTCAACCGCGAGTTGCAGATCGCAGTGGGCACTGCCGGACCTCAACCGCGAGTTGCAGATCGCAGTGGGCACTGCCGGACCTCAACCGCGACTTCCAGATCGCAGTGGGCACTGCCGGACCTCAACCGCGACTTCCAGATCGCAGTGGGTCAGATAGAATGTCAGAAGATATGCCAGATAGAATGCCAGAAAGAATGTCAGAAAGAATGTCAGAAGATATGCCAGACAGAATGTCAGAAGATATGCCAGAAAGAATGTCAGAAGATATGTCAGATAGAATGTCAGAAGATATGCCAGATAGAATGCCAGAAAAAATGCCAGATAGAATGTCAGATAGAATGCCAGAAGATATGCCAGAAGATTTGCCAGATAGAATGCCAGAAGATATGCCAGAAGATATGCCAGAACATATGCCAGAAGATATGCCAGAAGATATGCCAGATAGAATGCCAGATAGAATGCCAGAAGATATTTCAGATAGAATGCCAGAAGATTTGCCAGTAAAAAATGTATAAATGTCATGGTGGGGATCACACGAAGTAAAGTAATTTTGGGATTTTTGTTGATGATGCTTTATGATGGTTCATGATGCTTTATGATGGTTCATGATGCTTTATGATGGTTCATGATGCTTTATGATGGTTCATGATGTTTTATGATGGTTCACAATGCTTTATGGTGGTTCATGATGCTTTAGGATGGTTCATGATGCTTTATGATGGTACATGATGCTTTATGATGGTTCATGATGTTTTATGATGGTTCACCATGCTTTATGATGGTTCATGATGCTTTATGATGGTTCATGATGCTTTATGATGGTTCATGATGCTTTATGATGGTTCATGATGCTTTAGGATGGCTCATGATGCCTTATGGTGGTTCATGATGCTTTAGGATGGTTCATGATGCTTTATGATGGTTCATGATGCTTTATGATGGTTCATGATGTTTTATGATGGTTCACCATGCTTTATGGTGGTTCATGATGCTTTATGATGGTTCATGATGCTTTACGATGGTTCATGATGCTTTATGATGGTTCATGATGCTTTAGGATGGCTCATGATGCCTTATGATGGTTCATGATGCTTTATGATGGTTCATGATGCCTTACGATGGTTCATGATGCCTTACGATGGTTCACGATGCTTTATGATGGTTCATTGTGCTTTATGATGGTTCATGATGCTTTATGATGGTTCATGATGCTTTATGATGGTTCATGATGCTTTATGATGGTTCATGATGCATTATGATGGTTCATGATGCTTTATGATGGTTCATGATGCTTTATGATGGTTCATGATGCTTTGTGATGGTTCATGATGCTTTATGATGGTTCATGATGCTTTATGATGGTTCATGATGCCTTATGATGGTTCATGATGCTTTAGGATGGTTCATGATGCTTTATGGTGGTTCATGATGCTTTATGATGGTTCATGATGCTTTATGATGGTTCATGATGTTTTACGTTGGTTCACGATGCTTTACGATGGTTCACGATGCTTTATGAGGGTTCCTGATGCTTTATGATGGTTCATGATGCTTTAGGATGGTTCATGATGCTTTATGATGGTTCATGATGCTTTATGATGATTGATGATTCATGATTGGTTGATGATTGAAGAAGCCCATCCACCAAAACAACTAACTCTAGTTTATGATCTTTAGTTTTCTTTATAATTGAATAAACCCAATATATAGGTTCATCTAAAAACCAACACCTATATTTGTGGTGTTCCGATTTGAACGAATGCTAACGAGTCCATCCATGAGTCATGAAATGATCATGAAGTTCCGATGATCACCGGACACCGGTGGAACGGGTATGTTTGGAGTTCCAAAGCATCACTCGATTGACCAGCACTGGTCATCATCACCATATATTACATCATTGATATCATATTCAGTGATCAATTATTGATGTAATATTGATGATTGATTTCTGAATTGACACTTGATATTACATCAATCATCAACATGTGTGAATTCTGGACTCTGATTCACCATGAGATGATTCACAGGTGTTCATGGATGTTGATGGCAGGCAAAATTGAGACGCATAAACATTTAAACTACTGATGTTGATACTGGACCAAACAAAAAATGATAATCATGGGAAGATAAATCCAACTAAAATGAACAACTAGCCACAAATCTCGGAGCGGTTGGGAGCCAGGTGTGATATCGGTTGATACATCTCCGACATGCGGAGGTAAAGGCCTCTGTTTCCCTCTCATTTCAACAATAAATTGGTACATTTCAACAATAAATGGGTAATTCAACACTTGTTGGTGGTTTCAACCCCTCTGAAAAATATGAAAGTCACTTGGGATTATTGTGCCCAATATATGAAAAAAACATGTTCCAAACCACCAACCGGATGGGTGATTCAAAATGTTTGAGAGTGATGACATTGGTGAAGATCATCCAGACGTCATTTGCGAACATTGAAGATCTGAGGGATTCTAAAGGTATGCAAAGACTACTGCTGATATCTCCCAGTGATTCCCATTGCATCCCCACTATGGGCGTTACACACACACACATCATGTGTGTTGCTAAAAAACATGGTTATATCATCTTGAATCCCATGCTTGCTGCAAAAAACACAACCCATTTTGTCTGGTTAAATCTTGTTAAATCTCCATGTTTATTCGATACATCAAATGAAATTCCCATGTATCTGGCTAAAATCCTTTTACCCTGTGGTAAATTAACATAGACCCTGGCAGATAGGGGTTGGAAGATCAGTTTCCATTAAAACTAAGCTATTTTCAGGGTCTATGATAATTTACCAGAGGGTAAAATCCAAAATTTGCAGGTTACGTCTTTCACGTCCCATGAAATCCATCTGACATCCGACCTTGAATGGCTCCAACAGCACCACTTGCGACTCCACACGGGGCGCAGGGCTGAAGAACTCTGGGGGAACTCGGTCGATGACCACCTGGCCAAAATGTGACTATTTCATTGGAGTTGAGTTAAGCAACTGTACTAGAGCTTATATCATGAGATATATATGTGAAAGTAGTTGAAAATGAGCAATTTTCTATATATGGGAGATATATGTGGGATATAACTACAACTATAGCCAACAATATGAAATTGTTGACGTGTCGGCAAATGATCATATAGATCACCCTGAATGAATACATTGCAATTTTACTGGGAAACACTGGTAATTAATGGTAAAGAGTGATACGCCATCAAGCTTTGGGTTTGCCTGAAAATTACAGGACCACGTACCACATTTGATGGTTGAGAAAAGTTGAGAAGATAATTTTACATAATTTTCACTTTTGAGGGTACAAACCCAATTTTTAGACACACCTATATGGATCTCATCAAGAATGGGATAGCAAAAAATGAAAACCGATAGAATTTGGTAGTCCCGACCATGTGGGCAGATGTACAGAACAAACTGGTGATTTTACACACAGGAATTGGACTATTAAATAAACCGACATGCGAAGACACATGAACCAATGGGAAAGTTCGCACCAATGGCAGAGAGACAAGTAAAATTACAACTGTGATATGGAAGTTTCCTGAAATAGGGGTACCCCCAGTTCTCATCCATTTTAATAGGACTTTCCATTATAACCATCCATTTGGGGGTATACCCATTCATGGAAACCCCTATATTGGGATCTTCTATAGTTCAAGACATCTTCACTCCTTGTCCCAAGGCATCTAAGCCTTCGTGTCACCACCAAACATTTCGAACCCCAAAGGCCTCGCAGCGAGCGCAGGCCGCGCATAGCGCTGAAAGCATCCCAAATTTCACAGTACCTGCAGCATCTGCGCAGCTGGTGGTGGATATTTGTGGTTGCAAAGGTTCTCAAAATACTTGGATTTGCTTAAGGGGTCCCCAAAAAAACTTAAAAAATCACTATAGATTCCCCAAATGGCGAATTTTCCATTGGGAAAATAAACAATCACCTTATTAAACAAACCCAGGAATAGCTGCAATCTTTGGTGGGTAAGAATGGATCAGACCTTTTTTTCACTGCGCAACCAACAGCAATGGCACCTGAAAGCCGACGCTACTGCTGGGTCCCACCTGGTTTCGCCATCAGCTGTTTTGCAAACTCCAGTTGCACCATCAAAACCTCGGCGACCAGCGCAGTGTTGGACATGTCCTTTGCTGCATATGGTTTACAATTTATAGTCCGTTAGTGGCACGTGCAGGATATAGATGCATCTGCTTCTATATATAAATGAATTATAAATTATACATGTATATTATATACATACATCGTATAGGTCCTAGGTATGGCTTCATCACGTCTTCGCTTCCCCTTTGACGTAGTAAGTTGTAAGGGTGGCAGTTTGAATCAACTTGGCGGTTCAGCATGCCTGAGGGATGATGCCATGGGCACTTTGAAAACAAACATTTGACATGTGAGTCGAAGCAGAGCTGTTCTCATCTCCCAACTCCATCCAACTCCATCCCATTCTGCGAAGCTGCAATCCGCTCCAAGGGTGGTTCTTGTCGCAGCAGCTTGCTGATAAGGGCACTGGAAATACGGTAGGGTATGTTTCCCACCACCGTCTGACAGTGTCCGGGTATCTGGAAGTTCAACACATTGCCTGCGCGACATAAATCCCTCCAGGTTTGACGGACTCCCTGCTGGTCCATTCCAACATCCATCCACAATCCAATGATAGTCACCATCATCATGATCATAATCTTAATTATAATAACAAACTTATTAACAATACTATAATCATAATCATATCCAACGTCTACCACTTCCAATTACTACTACTTCTACTACTTTGTCTACTACTACTAACAATAGCAATACTACTACCACTACTGCTAATACTAATAAATAACAAAAATAGTAATAACAACAAAATAATACTAAATAATAAATAATAAATAAGTAATGAATCATACATAATAAACAATAAGGATAATATATAATCATAATCATCATCATCCCAGCCTTTTAGCACTTGGCACCGGTTGCTGCTGCTCCGCAAGGCTTCCGTCCAGTCCGCTCTGGACCACGACAGCGCCTCGTCGCTCAGCCGCGGGCCAGGCACGGCGCCACAACGGTGCAAGGCACCGCCGCGCGCGAAGCCTCACCGCAAACCATGGGAAAACCATGGGAAAACCATACGAAAACCATGGAAAACCATGGAAAACCATAGGAATACCATAGGAAAATGGTGATTTAACCAAGAAACAATGGGGATTTCCTGAGATTGACTATGATTTACCAAGCAAAAATTGGGAGAATCCTATCACCCTAGTATCTAATAGTATTGAATACCTACATGAATGGCCCCCAACATGAAGAAATCCATAGAAATCCTATATTAAACCGTTTCATTGGGGTATATTTGATACTACAACGACTTGAGACTCTGGGCAAGTTGTAAACTTTCATGTTTCCCCATCCTTTGCCCTGCCTTCCTTCAGTATCTCCTCATCCATCTCGAAACCCACCACACCAGTGCACTCAGGTCTTCTCAGCAAAGCACTGGTCAAGATCCCAGTTCCCACACCAATCTCAGCCACCCATCCACCAGATCCACCGGATCCAACAGCTGCCCTAGCGATGGCATCTGCCACCGCATAGGACTGGAGCAGGTGCTGCCCCAGCCGTGGCGTTTTCGAAAACGCCTTCAGCACAGCGGCGGCTGAGCCATCGACGCTTCCGGGGATGGAACTGCCACACTTGGGGCACCCCAGGCGACGCTGTAAGTGATCCCGCGGACGCAGCCGAAAGACACCGTGCAAGGGACAACCAATCAGCACTGGGGTGTGGTTGTCCTGGGAAAAGCACCCCGGAAGTTCATGGGCCATCATGCTGTGCTGATCTCTTGGCAGCTGTTGCGTCCTTGTGATATTCAATGTGTGCACACTGGTTCTGTATTGTAGCAACACATTCAGCACAAGCCTCAGGATGGAAATATTATTTAAAAAACATCAGGAAATCCATGGAATGCCCATGCGGTTCTCCTGATATTTCGTCATGGAATAGTCATAGAGATTTCCCCAGATCCGTGCACAATCCTCACGAAAGGCCTCTGGTGCTCGAGCTCCGAGTCCCATCAGGGTTTCACAAAACAAATAATGACAGAGTCCAACAACGATCACAACAATAACAATAACAATAACAATAAAGTAATGAACACTATAACAATACGTATCAATTTCAACAGACAAGCATGTCATTTCAGAATTTCTTAAAAAACAGAAAAAACAAAAGCAAAGAAAAACAATGGAATTGTATGGTATGACAACTTCTATCTGTTTGGAGGTTGCTACATCATAAGAAAAACATATATACCAACAATTTAATAGTAAATTCATGATCATCATAAAAATGATACTATCAATTGTGACAAATAATGTTGTACGTCATGCTATATCATAATACCATGGGGTGTGTCTAGGAATGGGGTGTACCTCCAGTTATGGACAATTTATCTACTTGAACAATATTATGATTAACCAGTAGATTGACCAATTATGATTCAGCAATATTATGCAATATTCAGCATGCTTAATATAATGATTATGAATAACCCCCTATGATTAACCACAAGATTTTCGTGGGGAACCCGATTTTCATGGTCAATCTTTGGTAGTCCACCAAAAAATAGTCCTTTGCTGGTTATGACCATGTCTCAGTATCCAAGGTTGTGGATGTTTTCATGACAAAGCCAGCATTTTTGTTGGTGAAATCCCCATTCGTCTTGCTTAAATCAGCTTAAATCCCTATTTTAGACATCATCAATCACCAGGTATATGGAAAGGGGGCCCCACGATTCACCACTAGATTTAGTCCTAATGAAACGTTGCCATGAGAAAAAAAAAAGTCATAAGATAGGGGGATGTATTATGATTATGTATTATTTGTGATATTCTATAGTTTCCTGTTTCCATGCCTATGATTTGCCATTCTGACCCATGGCATGGCCTTCTTCTTCATTCCCGGATGCAGTCGATCCAACTTTCGCAGCGACGTCGTGGCAAAGTCTCCACGCGTGGATGCAGCGCTTCGGCATCGCTGCATCCGCCAGCGGAGGACATGGAGGACAGGTCGAAATCCGGGAGGAAACATGCAGCAAAATCATAGAACATCCACGAAAATGAGCTATAACATGAGGGAGATATGATGAAATATGTAATCTATTGTAATATAGGGTCATATAATATACCTGGAGGTTTCCTAAGTCATGGGGGGCACCCCAAATCATCCAAGTCATTAGACCAGTTTTGAAACCTATGGTGGGGATATATTGTTAGAAGTCAGGGACAATATGGGATCAAAAGTATACTATCGTGTGGTGTTTTGCGGTTTCAATTTTCAATCCACTGAACAAATACATGTTGCATCTGTTTCACGATTATAGGCATACCGGCATACCGTACATTGATAGGCATGGCCGCCAGTGCTGTTGCAGGGCTTGTGATCTTCACGTCTGTCGGAACTGAAAGTCCTGGGACTGTCAAACATGGTCAGACAAAGACCTACAAAAACCACAGGGCTTTCGTATGGGGAATCCCTAAAACCAATGGACTGGTTATTGGAGTCTGGCCTGGTCCTCAGATGGAACCTTGACCGAACTTGAGAGCCAACATGGCAGCATCCGGTTTCAGCTTACATAGGACAACGATGACAACGATGAAGCGAAGGGGCAAACGGAACCCCAAAGCATGTCCAGAGTGTTTCTGTTCGATGCAACATATATGTATATATATATATATGTCACAGACATCTGTGACAAAGAAATGTGACACACATCTGTGACAGACAGTGACCCGTACTCACGGTATCATCCGATCCTCCCAGCGTGCCTCAAGATCGTCCGTTGTTACCAGTTGAAAGGTGTCATTGGAGCCAGATTTCAACGAGGCCTCAGTGCCGAGCAAGGAGTAACCGTGGTTTGGCAAATATACGGAAAAAAATGGTTGTATCAATTATTATGTTCCCCATTGTTCTTTTTGCAAAAAAACAGATGATGACTTGAGTTGTTCTTCCCTTTAAGATTCCATGGTATCGGAATCTGCTGGACAGAATCTCCTGCTTTCATCGACTACTTTTGCACTGCTAGATTGGAGGATGTATTTGCCCATTGCATTCCAGCAATTGCATCCATGATTGCAAAGGTGGAAAGACTGGCCAGAGTGTATTATTATTTGTGGAGGCATTTCCCAGAAATTTGCTACTGTCGAACATTGAATTCACATTGCCACCCCAAGCAAATGTCAAGCACCAGCATTCACTGTCATTGAGGCTCAGGTTTGGAGTTGAGACTGACTATACTGCACGGTATGATTGAGAAATGGTTGATAAATGGACTAAGATCATCCAGTATCCATATTCATGGCACAATTCATGGCACCCCGACTGTCCATTCAAACGATGTTCTATCGCAAACGATGTTCAAATCAAAGTTGAGGACAACCCCTCCTACAGGATTTCCTGCAAAGATAGGTGCGATTCTTCCATACCCCCGAGCATTTTCGACATGTAACCCATCTGTGGCCTTGTCATGCCTTGGAACGTCGCCCTCTCCGAAGTTTCATGGTTGATCATCATCGCCACGGGTCCACAAATCACAAAAAAACATGGTCTCAAAATGGCCGCACCATCAAAATTGCAACAACAAGGGGCAACCAAAGTTCCACACACTTTCTGTGCAAATTGGAATTTACTACAAAATGATTGTTTGAATCGTGTATATATGGAGTATTCCAGGGTAACTTGACTACGAATTGCAGGTATCAGGGGTTGAGGTATCCCTCTTTATGGAGCAATGCACACGGGGCTTACGTGGCCATGTAATGGAGGTAAGCCAAATTGTTTGCCTCATACCCATCTCAATCTCACCTGTATGTATATGTATGTATATATATATAATAATAATATACAAACTTTATATGTGTATTTCGTACAAACACGTAGAACGATTTTATGATGATTTTATATGATTTTATCCTCAATAAGCCCTTATTTTTTCAGGGTAGCCAGCCTTAAACCTAGCCCATTTCCACTTCCAAAGCCATGTCCAAAGTCTCAGCTGAGCAACTCTGTAGAAGCCTGGATCGCCCCGCACCTGGATCAGCTGGGATTCTTCGCGGCAAATCATGGAGATGTCGTCATGGGGGGGTTCCATAGTCATGGGGGATCCCCATAGCTGGTTTATTTCATGGAAAATCCTGGTTAGAATGGAAAATCCTATACTAAAATGGATGATTTCGGGGTACCCCCAATCTTCGAAACCTATGGAAACCTCCATATAGGGCTGATTGTGGCACCCCCAATTCAGAAGGATTATGATCGTTTTACCATGGTTTACCCACTTAAAATCAGAATCTGTCAAATAGCTTTTGCTGGGAGTATATAAATATATAATTATATATATATATCCACTGTATAACCCCCCATTGGACGAACCCAAATGGTGGATACCATTGGATGCCAGTCGAAGTGGGACATCTTGCCGATGACAAAAGAACCAACGAATTCTGAACAGGTGGAAGTTGCTTAGCATGTGTGTATCTGTTGTTCATGTGTGTATCTCATATGCTCCATGTATGGTATATTTACCTACATTTGGGTGATTTTTAGGGTAAATGTTGGTAAATATTCCATACATGGAGCATATGGGTATGCTGATCTTAAGAATATCAAAATTCGAGTGATCCTGGACACTTCGGAACACACCGGCCCCTACTCAGCGAAATCCTTTTGACAATGGTGGCGGGAGAGGTCTCCGGGGTTGACGATCTTTACAAATTTCAGGATCTGTCAAAACGGTGACAGGGAAGGACACTATTGCCTTCCCAGAAACATGCATGAAGCATGGGAGCATTTGCAGGATATGCAACTTGACATGGCAGACCCCGCAAGCTGAAGTTCCTGAAGCCTGATTCCACTTGTTCCAACATAGAATATATATATAATTATATATATATATGAATATAGCGCTGAGAGATAAGGGATGATAAGGCTATATCGATAATACCTCCACTCAAAAACATCAGAACCGGTGATGCCCAGCTGAGGCGACAGACCCTCGATTGTCAACGTTGGACTGCACCGTGCGACTAGAAGGTGACATGTCGCTATAATTATTATACAGTCAGTATCAGTTTGTGATGATATTGGTGATATTAGTCTGAAGTTTGAAGGGAATTCATCATGCCTACGTAATACCTTTCTGTATCAACCAGTGCAGAAATGATGGTTCCAAGGGGTGCCAGGTTGATTGCTGAAGTACTGGTATGGGTTAAGAATGTGAAGAAACAGGTGAATACACCCAATTATCAATGTTCCTTTTTCATGAGGAACCTGATGATAAACCACGCGGATTTTTATAGTATCGCATGTATCATCCATTTTTTTGGTATGCACCCATACACAAAACCAAATCAAGGGGTTAGGAAGATCAGAGAATCATGGACGTTTCGTGGCAAAAGGATTTGTTTGACCCCTACCAAGAATTCGTAGCAACACATGACTGCACAGTAACTTGACCATCCAAGGTAGTCTAGTCTTGATTGGTAATATGTCCAGCAAACATAATGGCTATCGGCTATCGATGTCTCTTTCCTCGCAAAAGCTTGATGTCTGAATCACAAAACCATGGTGGTATCATGCTATGCTCAAACAGGGAAACATTATGAGCTCACTTGGGTTTGCCTGAAAACAGGATTCCATCCACAGATTAATCATGTCCCCCCATCAAAATTGCTATAACTGGGTGGTAAATCATTTTCAGAGACCCACTTCAACTCATGCAATCTGCTCCCCTAGGTTCAACCTTTGAGCATGAAGAAGGGTATCAATTTGGCTACCCACTTCAAGGCACACACATCATAGTGGCATATGAATTGAAGCTTCTGCTTGAATGACTTGACCGCATGCAATACCATTCATATCTAAATTAATGCGTAAAGTTTGAACGTCGAAATTCCATAGCCTCCCCAACGACTTCGACTAATCCATACTCATATGTTGATCACGACTACCTACCCTGGAGGGTAAATCAACATGGAGATGGTCAACATGGACCATTTATAGATCATGTCCATTCGCTCCCTGGGGATACCATGGCTTGACCGCATCGAAAAAGTTGCATAGGCTACTAGCAAACATCTTCTGAAATAGCATGCATCTCATGCCCCGACATCTCATTTCCAGAAGATCAGAAGCTTCAAACGTCGCAGCTCTAGCCATGCTGGAGATGGTCATCCCAGCTGGTGGCTGGGAATGCCATCGGCACTGTTTCATACCGGCTGTTTGTTCAGCCCTGAACACCAAACAAATCAATTGGGGCCGGTTAGGAAAAGGAATGGACATGAAAACCAACTTAATACCACCAACCAGGTAGCCATGTAACGGCCATGTATTGTCTGTCGTGGGCTAGTGAAACTTTCCCATTGGTAGATGAATCATCTCTTGCCATGTTTTATTAAGGCTACATATCGATTAAAGCTGCGACGCGGTCAGATGCTCAGCAAGCAGAAAATGTCCAACAGCGACGCTGTTAAAGATATTGAGGAAAACCAGCGACGCGGTCAGATGCCAACTGGTCTTACAAATGGAACAATTGTATCAGAATCAACCAAGTGATGATTGATCAAAACGTATGGACTTTCATTGACTTCGAAATGATCCAATCAACAACAAAACTTGCAAGGCACAGTGACATGAAGCAAACAAATGCGAACAGCATGCGTTTAAGCACGCTGAAAAAACAAAGTGCCACACAGGCAGGTCTACTATGGACCCAAGAACACAGCTATTTCTCAATGCCAAAACACCATACGGGAACATCCCACAACAACATTGTATAGGTGGGCCTTCAGATGTTGAGGGGGGCCATCAAGTCAGACATGGTGTGCCTTCTCAGTGAGGGAAGAGCGTAGATCGAAAGGCCTCAAAATGTCCCAAGTCTGATATATGTCCAAAATTTCCAAGGAATTCCCCGCGCTCTGGGAAAATAACAATAAGTATATATATATACTATTATATACTATATCTCCGCTTCGCCACAATGCGGTGGACTAAAAGCTGGCACAACGACTCTCTCCCCGTGGCCCAACCTTTACAAGTTCCCGTTTTCAACAAAGGATGGCCGTATCTGGCTACTGACCAGCCAGCCCTCGGTTCTTTTTTTTTAGGGTCGCATTCTGAGTCAAATTCACTTCACTTCCAACATGGAATCCCTTCCCCATAGGATCCATGTATGGTATATATGCTAACATTTAGGGTATATTGATGGTAAATGTTACCATATATAGCATACATGGATCCTATGGGTTCCCCCTATAAAATAAAACGTACCCCCTAAAAACTACGTCCATACGATACTCCAGGTCTTTATTGAGGGGGTGAGATTCCCCGAGGGGCCGGGATTCATTTCAATCGGAATGACATCTGGGAGCCAGGCGCCTGGCGCATCTCGCGAGCATTAAACGTTTGAGATACTTTTCGAACTCAGCTGGGATGCGACCTGCCACGATGGCATTGAATCTAGGATTTGTCCAGAGTCAGAGCAAGGATTCCTATCATTTCTGCAGTAGTTGGTGGAAAAAAACACGTGTTTTTTTTTACACTCATGGTTTTGTGCACTATGAAGAATATGTAGCTTCACTCCGCTTGACAAATGGATTGAAACGAAACATGATTGAACGAAACCAAATGGCACTTCAAACGCAGGAACAAATCATTGCTTTGACCTGGCTGCACTGCACATTATTTTCCAGCGATGTTCAATTCATATCTGTTTGATTCTGCTTGTATTGATTCCAGTTTCTATGAATGGCACTATCTCAAAGTCCTCCAAGCCAATCATTCCGCTCTATCCAACTGTGGGATGGACAAATGGGGATGAAACCCATTCAAGCAAGAACTCATGGCAACATTATACATGTCAACATATACATGTACTTATAACATACAGTGCATGTATGTATATATATATATGCATCATATACATATATAATGTATATATATACATCATATACATGTATCATGTATACACATATCATATCATATAAATATCATATCATATACACATATATATATACTATATCATATCATATCATATCATATCATGTCATATCATGTCATATCATATCATATCATCTCATATTATATCATATATACAATATATACAATATATACATATATAACACATTATTATACAATATATATATATATACCAGGGGTACCAAGCGGGTGCCGTAGTGGGACCCCTTAGCCAAAAAACACAGTGGGACCCCTTATTTTTTTAGGTGGTTTAGAGGTAGTTTGGAGGGTTCTTGACCATGCATCTCAATTTTTGATCGCTGAGGGCCCAGGTTCACCCGCAATGGCCACACTGCAGCCTGGCCACCGGCTCATGTAGGAATGATCGACCAAAGGCATGGGCATCAGGTACAACACGTTCAAAGCTATGGAATGGTTGGCACTGAATGGCCCAAGTTAAAACAGATAGGTAATAGAGTTACTAGAGGTGCAAGGTACCCCAACACAATGTTAAGTATCATTAGAAGGAAATTCCGTCGTTGGACATCTGCCATGCCGAAGCGCAAGAGTGGCAGCAAGGATTTCAATGATGAGGCGAAGAGCCTTGTCCAACAACATATTTGGAGGGTTTCATCGGGAAAAAAAACATCAACATTCATTTTTAAAAACCATGACTGTGAATAAGGATCATGGCAAAAGCGTTGATGGCCCGTATCGATGATAAATGTATTGAATGGATCCGACGATCTAGTGAGTTTTGGCCTGGCGGAGACATCCGCGTTAGTGCCAATCAGTGGCTGCGAGCAGCATTCCATGACAGCTCCCTCAAGAAAGTTCTACGTGAGAACTCTATGAGACAAGCCTTACACATTGTTGTCAACAAGAAAGGGCTTCGTCTTCAACTGAGTTGATACGAAATTGTTTACTTTTATTTCCTGGTGAGCACATGTTCCAACATCATCCCCTGCCAACAATAAGGTTTTGGAAAGTCTGCCAACAATAAGGTTATGGTATGGGACAATGCATTTTGGGGAATGACAACAGCTGGGCATAATCTTTTGGAAAATGATATTTTTACCGAGCAAAAAGGGTTCATCTCCATTTCAAACCATGGGCCTGCAAGCTCGTTGGGCAAGTTACGGTAAAATCCCAAACGTAATCTGGTAAATGTTTTAGGCTAGAAATCTGAGAAAATTCCAAATCTATCCAAATCCCAAAAAAGGCGCGTGTCAAACGTGTCAGTGGCGTGTCTCGGGTGGTTCCTTGGGGGTCCCACAGTGGGACCCCTTAGGCTAAGGGGTGCCGTAGTGGGACCCCTTAAAAAGTGTCGGGGGTGCCCACCAAGTTCAGGGGGCGTGTCATTTCGTGTCGTGAAATCTCATTTTTGGTGGTTTGGTCAAAAAAAACGATCGATCTATTCTGTGGCTCCAGCGGGTTTTTTCGGGAACAACCTAGTCGATCTAGTTCCAGCCATGCCGGATGGAAAAGAGTTTGAGGCTGGCTAACCCTATTGAGTAGGGAAAACTCTGTAAGTAGTATTTGTTTATATATTATATATATATGGCTGACTATCCCTGATGTTTCATTTTCATGTGAGCATATGCACATGCTCCACTATTTATATCACAACGAACACTGATGTAATACTTGGCTGGGGGGCTATGTCGGCTACTTTACCTGGGCAGGTGAGCGCTGAGAAGATGATGGCACTCAAAGCTCAAACTGTTCCGACAGAGGCTTTCAAAAAGTTTGAAAAGAAAAGAAAACAAGCACTTGAAGATATCGAGCAAAACAGAAAGGAAACAGCACCATGTGAGGTTAGACCATATCGTCTACGACTGTGCTCCAGAAGTTTCTCCACTGAAACTAAGCTGCTATACAGATGAGGACGCGATGGGAAAACTGAAGAAATTAGCGATGATTTCATATCCCAACCAGATGGGACGACAAGTTCTGTCACGCTACGCTGCATATACATGCGTGCGATGGCTTCGAAGACTCACAGAATAAGCTAGAGTATATACTCTAAATGTCAAAGATGTCACTATGTATTTTTTTATGCTGTCATTTTGTGTACTGTGAGTTTTCGGCGACTGCATTTCCAACGACTCCCGTTGGCACCTTCTGAGCCTCTTTCCAAAATGTTGAGCTGGTCCAGCCGATGCCGCCGCAGCGCAGCCAGGTGTGAACTGGTGATTGATGGAATGGGGTTATTTGATAAGATTACCAAAGAATACCTACAAATATATCTTACTATATCCAGCACATATGTTTTTAACAGTTGGTATGACCTTGGGAATAAGGGTTCCCGTAGTGGGACCCCTTAAAGATATCAACTTCCAAAAACACAGTGGGGCCCCTTTGGCGGTGCTGGTATATATATATATGCACATGATATTACACAGTACATTATATCATATGATAGATGTTACGTATAATAGGTACTATATTACAAAAAAGATGTACTACATCATGAAATATTGCCGCTTCCAGCGCCTCTAAGCCCTTGCAGAGGGGTTGGGACATCTTCTCACCTCACGGGGCCCCTTTTCCCGTCGGGCCGTTGGGCCGTTGGGGTTTCCGGCCCCCCATGAATCCTCCGGTCATGGCAGTGGAGCACACACTAATATGGGTAAAACATGTTAAAACAATCATACACCATGCCCCCAAATTACCATTTTTATAGGATTAAATGTGGTGTTGATTGTATTCCATAGCATTCCCAAATGGGTGGTTTATGGCATTGTTTTGCCCCCATTAATACGTTAACATATTGCAAATGATTGTAGATGGGCATCGACAAAAATGGTGGGATTTTCCATCTCAAAAAAGGTCCCGATGCCACCCGATGCCAACCATTCAACTGGGGTTTATGGAGATGTAACCAACTTCAATGGGGAAAAACTAAAAACCAACCATTGGGATATGTGGATAGAACCAACAGAACATGTAATATCATGTAATACTGTAATATAATATAATATAATATAATGAAATCTAATGGTAATATAAGTTTGGAGATGCATTGACAACTGAGAATACAAAAAGCAAGCTCCAAATAATTAGTCTTCTACATAGCCTTCTGGTATGAAATTGTGAACATCCGTTTCACTCACCGCTTCACAGCGTGGTGAGTTGCCTTTATCTTGCAGCTCCACTTTCTCCACATTGGCATTGCACATGAGTCTTGACTCACTCGATGCTCCTGACATGGGCATGGGCTGTGCCCCACGATCTTCCGCAAGTGTGGTTTCATGCAGTAATCCCGTGTTTGTTTACCAACTGAACATGCACGTTTGACCAGGAAACTTAAGTGTACTAAACAGCTTCGATCGCAACGACGCAACAACAAACATGTGAATCTGTGAACTCAGCAGCTCAGCTTCGACACGAATGATGGTATTTTTTTAGCAACACATGGTGAGTTCACACAGGTGACCATCAAGAAGCCAATATGGTGAGTATGACTCTGACTACAAGGCTACTTGTATGCAGAAACTTCAAAGGTACCGAAAGGTACATCAGGCATTATCAGGCCATATTATATATATTAAATATCATTGCAGCGTTGTTCCCTGCAAGTCAGCAATTATGTCTTATACAGTACATTTAGAGGTTTCGTAAAATGGGGTGAACCCCAAAACCATGAGTTGCAAGCTCTACAGTAATATTCAATGATTTCTGGTGGCATTTGAGGTGCTCACCAGTCACAGTCCCTACAAAAACAAACACACAACTTTTAGACCTTAACGACCAAGGAGCCTCTGGTAATTTAACAAAGCTATGGAAAGTGGCTTGGCCAATTTATAGATGATTTACAGTAAAGTATGCAATATGTATTACCATAAAAGTGGCAATTTTCCATAGCTACGTTAAATTACCAGAGGGGTAAAGACCAGTTTGTGTGACGTTCAAACTCCACAAGGCAAGAAAGAGGCCTCTTTTATCACGCTGAAAACAAAGATGGAACATGAATGAACACCATATTTACAATTGCGGACTCTGGAACATCATCGTTAGGACTTGAGGGGTGGTGAAACGTCTTTGAAAATCACCCAGCCACAAACCCATATATTTGAAGGTCACCAAAATATACCAAAATGAGGCTTTATAAAGACAAACCATACCCATCCATACCCTATGAATCCCTACAAGAAATCCGCCGACCCCGGCCTTCGCCAAGGCAGGGGCGGCGCCTGGGACCACCACAGGTGTGGAGCATGTTTTTGTTGGCTTGCCACTACCTTGCCTTCCGCCAGGCACTCAGGCCACTGCCCTCTGTTGTTAAGGGCGTTCAAGCCTGCTTCGAGCAGGCACTCAGGCCACTGCCCTCTGTTGTTAAGGACGTTCAAGCCTGCCGTTTGCTACCTAAAACGCTGCGCGGCAGCTTCGAGCAGGCACTCCCGCCATTGCCGTCTGTTGCTAAGGGCGTTCAAGCCTGCCGTTTGCCAGGCCTCAAATGCCTAAAACGCTGCGCGGCTGCATCGAGCAGGCACTCAGGCCACTGCCCTCTGTTGTTAAGGGCGTTCAAGCCTGCCGTTTGCCAGGCCTCAAATGCCTAAAACGCTGCGTGGCAGCTTCGAGCAGGCACTGAGGCCACTGCCCTCTGTTGTTAAGGGCGTTCAAGCCTGCCGTTTGCCAGGCCTCAAATGCCTCAAACGCGCGCGGCAGCTTCGAGCAGGCACTCAGGCCACTGCCCTCTGTTGTTAAGGGCGTTCAAGCCTGCCGTTTGCCAGGCCTCAAATGCCTAAAACGCTGCGTGGCAGCTTCGAGCAGGCACTCAGGCCACTGCCCTGTGTTGTTAAGGACGTTCAAGCCTGCCGTTTGCCAGGCCTCAAATGCCTCAAACGCTGCGCGGCAGCAGGCACTCAGGCCACTGCCCTCTGTTGTTAATGCCTAAAACGTTGCGCGGCAGCTTCGAGCAGGCACTCAGGCCACTGCCCTCTGTTGTTAAGGGCGTTCAAGCCTGCCGTTTGCCAGGCCGCAAATGCCTAAAACGCTGCGCGGCAGCTTCGAGCAGGCACTCCGGCCACTGCCCTGTGTTGTTAAGGGCGTTCAAGCATGCCGTTTGCCAGGCCTCAAATGCCTCAAACGCTGCGCGGCAGCTTCGAGCAGGCACTCAGGCCACTGCCCTCTGTTGTTAAGCGCGTTCAAGCCTGCGACATGGCTCAACGCCCGGCTGTGGCCCCAAATTCTGCGGAGCTTTGTGCTACATGATTCCATCGATTGGTTTAGGTGTGAAAATCTCAGCCGGAAACCATATAAGCATATTATAACATCATATGTATATATTTATATATTATAATATGTATATATCCGCACCCTTGAAAGGGGGTCGGCGGCACCAGGGCGTTAGCCCATTCTATTGCATGTGTCCTAGAAAAATCTCCACTGGCATTCCATGGCATTCCACTGGCAGCTCCACGAATGTCTCGCTCCTCTCGTCACTGAGACGAGGACCAATAAGGCACTTACCGCCACCAGGGCTGCAAAGCACCCGCTGAGAACTGGATTCCTCAGGCCGATCATCCGCTGGCCCGGCGCCGTTTTTTGTTGACGTAACAAACAATATTCGACACACGACGATGTCAAACAGTTTGAAACAGGAGAATGAATATCCCATAGGATCCATGTATGCTATATATATATATGGTAACGTTTACCATCAATATACCCCCAATGTTAGCATATATACCATACATGGATCCTATGGGTATTGACTTGAATATTTTATGAATTCTCTTGTGTAGGATGAGAGCAGTAGATGGTTCCCTACAAAAAGCTGGAACAGCCATCAACTGGAGTTGTTTTGCTTGGGTTGCTGTGGCCCTTCCACACACATGTTTTATCTACTCAATTTCATAATGTAATGTAAACCGTGGATGTGTCACATGCTGGTTCAAGCATTTTAAGCGGTGTTTTTGGAGTCGCGCTGTTATCTTACTACTTAAGCAGAATCACTCCACCTAGCTCCATCGCCAGGCGTCCCAGAGCTCAGCATCAGCAATCCCCCAGCCGCCAGAAATAATAAGAGCCATCGATGGAAGGCAGTACCATCCACCTTTTCCGCCAGCTGATTTCCAGCCTAGAGAAGTGCTGGGCATACTTGGATAAAATTGGTTTTCAAAAAAAAAAAGGCAAATCTTGGATATTCTGACCAGAAAACAATCTTTAGCTGTATATGTATATTTATATATCATATGTATGTATTGTATATATATATATATATATTATATTATGTTATATTATATTATATTATATTATATTATATATGACATATCATATACATCATATATCATTCTATAATGTGACTAGGCATGCAACAACATGGAAAATCCCCTTCCTCAAGCAAGGTCCAAGGTCACTCTGCCCAAGTCCAAGTCATGCCTGGGTTTCCCGACCAACAAGCCCAGCAGGCCACCGAAAATCAGAGCCAAATAGGTTGGCCAATCTGACAAATCGACCTGATGGTCAAAGCCTCTCAGGATCGGTCAGAGCTTGGTGGTTGGGTCATCCTGGGATGATCCAGAAGGGTCGTCAACAATTTCTGTGGGACATAACTGACATAACCCAACAACCAACCATGATTTTTTGCGAAATCCCCGAAGTTGATGGGCAATGTGAATGGGAAAATCATCGAAATATATAAATGGTGGATTTTCCATTGGGATGTTTGATTTCCGGAAGCTAACGACCCAAAAATCAAGCGAAGTGAGGCTTTCACCACAGTTGGGTTTACTGTAGATCAATTGTATCTTTGGCATCAACCTTTGCTTTTGCCTTGAACCACAGGGTGGAATGCGGGTTTGTCAGCCGGCAAAATAATCCAATGGTGCATCATGGTGTATCATTGCCATCATGTTCCCCATGGTTTCAAGGCCATCAATATCCATAAAACTCGATAAACATCCATAAATATCATCCAACAAAAATCCATAATTTGAATAATTCATCTAACCCTCCCCTCCCCCACATTTTTCACGGACAATTCGGACAACCCTGTGCCATGTCACCCTCCCGCCTAGCATCAGTCCCTGCACCAGCATCCCCGTGAAACGGATAAAGTTGGCCACAGAACGCCACACTTCTCGGTCCACGCTGAAGAAGAGCAGCAGGACCATGAAAGGGGGTCCTGCTGGGATGATGATGGCTGATGGCTATGGGGATAATCCCCAGCGATTGTTTTCACGGAAATATCATTAGGGAAGATTTTATCAACATCATATGGGAATATATGGGATGTAAATAGAAGGTACTAAAATACAGTAGTCAGTGACCATTTCAGGAATCGATTTATTGGAGGTACGTATACCATTTTTCAGGCCTGTTTAGGGCTATGTAGGCTATTTTTCAGGGAATAATTCCACAAAAAAAATAGGGGTCCTGCTTGGAGTGCAGACTTTGATGGTTATAAATTACCGGTATAAACCATGGGATTTTAACCTTCACAAGTAGCGATATGGGGCCCAAGTGGCTGGCTATCGACATATAAGTGGAACTGCACCCAAGTGGTGGGTTGTTTCGACATAGAATAATGGATACATTGGAACAATATCAACAAATATATGCATATAATATAATATAATATAATATAGTATAAGTAAATATAGTGTAATATAATTAAATATAATGTAATATTAATATAATATCATATCATATTTATATAAAATAATATTAATATAATATAATATAATATAATATAATAATATGTATAGTATGTATATATAGAAAACAATATCATTATTAATGCGCAAGTCCGGACTTCGCTAAGTAACCACGTCTCACGGAATCCTATGCTTGGCCGCAGCTTGTGCTACATTGTGCCATATGCTAAAAAATATCATTATTATTACTATTATTATCATTATTATTGTTACTATTATTATTAGTACTATTATTATTATTACTATTATTATTATTGGTATCATTATTTTTGTTTTTGTTACTACATATGAATAGCAAAGCATCTGACTAAGTCCACTTGACTATGGAATACCCCGTCCTGCCACCCCTAAGGCGCCACGGAGTAGACCCGCACTGGCAGCCGTCAGGGCCAGGCCGATCATCACAAACCAGTGACACTCCTGTGGTCCAGCTCGTTAGCCACGCGTTCAGTTGGTCAAGAAACTCCTATACCCTATGGATCCAAGTATCTTCTTAGCAAGTGTTTGGGGTATAATTTACTATAATGTGGAGGGTTAAGTACCTTCTCAGACAGTGTTTGGATCCATAGGGATACTTAAAGATGGGCCATGGGATTAACGATTCCTGGGTAGTAACTGGGGATATAACTAACTAGTTAACTAATTATAATCCATTTACTAACTAGTTAACTAACTCCATGGCCCATCTAAGTAACCTTTGGGTTTAGGGTAGATGTATCTGCAATATTCTATAGATCGGTAGATGAGGGTAGATGTCTCTATGTTTTCATGGGGGTTGTAAAATGTTACAAACCAAGTTTAAACCGGGGGGCACCAACCGGTCGAGAAATTCTGGCGGAGACCAACAAAACTGGGAGGAAAAGTTTGGGTTTACCCTCTGGTGAACTAACATAGCAATGGAAAATCACCATTTTTGATGGGAAAATCCACTATAAATAGCCATTTTCCATAGCTTTTTGTATGTTCACCAGAGGGTAACATGGTTTAACCAAGCATATGGGGATATCATGGGACAATTGTGTGTGATTTTTCCAGGGTCACACTAATATCACAGATTTTCACACCTTAAATCCGAGGTGGGGATCCAACAGCAGCCTGGCTGGTTATCCGATGCAGGGAACGCAAAAACTCAACAGCTTCCAGGGGGGACGATCATCCAAGTGCTGCAACCTCCATTGCTTGTGAAAAGTGAGGGTCATCCCTCCAACTGCCGATGGGAAGGGACCATCGGAAGAAAAGCGAAAAAAAGAAAACAATCGGCGAAACACCCAGCGACATCTTGCAAGGACTAATACATCATAACGAGATATTTATATCACAAAAACAGTGTCACCAAGAACCGAAGATACCACAAGCGTTGAGGTCCCCGAGCTTTGTTAGATGACATTGAATCAATGATATTAGTGTTTGAAAACAACCAACGTTGTGATGGCCGCTTAAATCTTGATCAAAGCGGGCCCAAACCCACTTCAACTGTGAAACCCGTCTCCTCCATGTTCTGCTTGTGTGCCAAACTATGCATGTGCCTAGCATGCCTCGAGAAAGGGAACAGGTCGGAGGAAATCCGGGACTTCATTCAAAGCCATGAACAAATGGAGTCAGTATGAGTCAGTATGAGTCAGTGACTGAATTCAAACCTCCTCACATGTTAGTCCGTCAGTATTTGCTTGATTCCTACATTGATACGCACATTGTGGCCAACAATCATGGGAAACTAATGGAAAGTATATACCCTATGGATCCAAACACTGTCTGAGACAAGGTACTTAACCCTCCACATTATAGTAAATTATACCCCAAGCACTTCCTAAGAAGATACTTGGATCCATAGGGATATGTCAATATTATTGCAAATAATTGCAAATATGTATGCAGTACATGGCAGTCGAACAAATGAGCTGTGATCAAAGCAAAAAATGGAAGTGTCTCCCGCAGGCGATTTTTTCTGGGGTCATCCTTTTTTCGCCAAGATTCCTGGACCGGACTACTATAAGTGCTATATGGCAGTGTGTCAAAACCCTGTACCCCTGGTGAACATCAAAATAGCTGGTAAATGGATGTTCATCCCACAAAAAATTGTATTAATAGGTATTGATTCATAGCCATATATATTCACCCCGTTTTGAGAACGGATAGCCAATTGATCCAATGTTGGTGATCTTGGGATCTGAAAATCGGGCCAAATTTTGATGCGAAATCACCTGTTTCAATTCACATGGCCATGGCCGACCAGTGTACCCTAGGATAAACTAACGAAGTGGCAAATCAACCAATTGTAGATGATTTTCCTACGAAAACCCATAGCTTTTCCACATCTACGTTAGTTTATAGGCTAATTATATGGAGGTGTCCTAAAATGGAGGTACCCCTAACTAAATCATCCATTCTAATATTGCTTTTTCAACCATAAACCATCCAGCTATGGGGGATCCCCCATGACTGTGCAAAATTCCGGCGACCAGGCGCTGTCTCCAAAGGTTGAATGCTGCCAGCAGCAGAAAGGCCCCACCCAGGATCTGTTTGGCCAGCAGGGAGTGGCCGAAGTGTTCCAGTAACGCGGTACCAAGCGGTACGGTTGCCCTTGGGAGGTGGAAGGTGGATACATGTGATTGTCAAATATCAATCAATATCAATCATATGAAAAAACGATTTTACATCAATTCACATTCACATCTATCATAGAATTGGATTATGGGAAAAATTACAGGAAAGCCCTATATTTGATGGTAAAAACCATGGTTTTCTGTAGATTTTCCCTTAATCCAATCCAGTGAATCTATCATTTTTGCCATGTTTTTAAGCATTATTTATAAGTGGGCATTCTATATACATATTTTTTCACTGGGTCCCACTGGGTCAAACTACAAGACCCAAGAAAAGCCGTCATTGTCCTACGACTTTTTTATGGGATTTTACCACCAGGTCAAATCCCAATGTTACAGGAATGTGTACAAAATTATGAGTTTTCTGTTGCTTTACATGTTCCTTTGTTTTTTTTTTTGAAATCATGTTTAATCTCCACTGTCGTTGCTTAGTTTGTTGGGTTTCGCTTTTCAACCCCCACTCTCCACCACTTATCACCTCAGTCAGTACTAACTAATGTTGCCGTACGCACATCCTAATTTTGCATTATTTACCATTATGTTCCCTAACTTCCCATGTTTTCTCATTTGTTTAGGGGATTGTTCTCATCCCTTTTGGGTTTCCCCAAACGTTTCAGTCATCAAAATACAGTAACAGTATTTCAATATCATTAATTATACTCCATGACCATCCACAGGTCCATAAGCCTCTCCCCCCAAAATAGCTCCACCACCCCATCTGCTCCCACATCGGGCCACAGAAAGGGCAACGCTAGCTGTGCCGCCAGCCGTGGTCGCCAGAAGTGGCGCAGCACCAGCAGTTGAAATGTGCTGCAGGCCGCCTCCTGCAAGACGATATGGAAGACCTGAGCTGAACCGAAGATGGTCAAAGGTTTGTAACCAATAGAATAGAGCCTTAGCAGCCTTAGCAGGTGGAGATTCTAGCTGCAACAGAGGATCACATGAGCCAAGCAACTGCCTTTTCCAGTGTACCGCTTGTGAGCCCGAAGACACAGCAAAGTTGCCAAGAAATTTCCTGATTCGGGATTCAGGCATTCACCCAAACTGGCTACATCAGATGCAGTGTTTGGACCAAGAGTTTTTGTTGTCTTCAAATTTTATCAAAGAATATGGTCCGGCAATTCAGTCTGCCACATTCCGACAATTGCCACATATTCCAAGAGGGAAAACCCATCACGATGTCTAGCTAGATCTGTCAGTGGCTAAGGTCCCCCCAGATCCGGTGGTTGTTCCTTCACAAAATGTCATGCCTTTGTCTGAAAATTGATGGGAAATTTTGCCATATGGCTGTGTCCCCCTGAGTTACCAAAATTCATGACCGCTTAAAATCTCTGGTGAAAATGATGCTCCAAACATCTCCAAACTATAGGATGTTGGGGTTCACTGAGACGACCCTCTCAACACCACCAAGTCCAAGTCCAAAATAGATCTCTCATGATCTCCCAGTTTTCCCTATTGAAGTCCCAAAATGACCTACATTTACCATCATTTACCTACCCCTACAATCCTTCACCCATCTCATGTCCCAGCCGAGAAGTTCCAAGCTGCATAGAGAATGGCTGGCCCGAAGCCTAGGGCTGCACCGCTGAGTTCCGCTAGAAAGGCCGTGATGAAGGACACCAGCGTCCAAGTGGCACTCATGGCGCTGCACGCGGGCAACGGGAGGATTTTTGGGTCAAGGTCCAGGGGCCTTTGGGAACTTGAAGATGGTGGCATTAGTGTTTGGGGAAAAGTCTCTATTTTTTGCAGAGGTTTGGGGTGAGAGACCTGTGGTCTTTGATTTGTTGAGATGGGGTTGAGCATGGTTGAGCGCATGAGGCTACACTCTGAGCCTCACAGCACCAGATCCAAGCGCATAGAAAGCTGAGAGGTATGAACACCGCAAATAAAGTTGAGACGTGGTCGACAGTCGACTAATTACAGTACTTATTACTGACAAGTATAAAATCCCTACTTGATGATGTTTTGATGTGTCAGTGACAGAACTTACAGAATAACAAACAAGAAAATCCCAATATGATGTATCAACAACATGGACAGGATGTAGTAATGTAGGAAATTGATTGCAAGACAACCTCAATTGGGATGAATGTCCGAATGAGAGATATCATTATGTTGACACATGATGCTTCTTCCACACCCAAGGACAGCAAAAAAGCGAACAACAAGGAACTGAAAATGCCCAACAAATTCCATTTGGGGATTATCTTCCCATTCAAACATCTTCAAACATCTTCATTGAGGATGATTTTTCCGGCTGTAAGCCCCGCATAGCCATGAGCAAAGCCTGGAAATAGCCCAGGTTGCCCATGACAATGGTGTCATCTGAAGCCTGGCGGGATGTTTTTTGGGTGAGATTTTAGTCAAAAAAAAATATATGGGCGGGATCATATTGAGACTTTCTATTGGGTGATCAAAGTGGAAGTTGTATTGGCTTACCAGACTCTCTGTAGGATCAAAGAATCCATAGAAATCTCATCTGTGCGCCGGAAAACGTTACGTTGCGGAAAAGAACGTGCCATAAGACTGCAACAAGCAACATATTTTGATCATTCAGTTAATATTGGTCAAGATATTAGAGTACTGGTGCACCAACAAATGCCTGGTAATTCTGGGTATTAAATCACACCATCCATGTTGGGTGTTGATACGTGTTGATACTGTTGACCCATAATTTGGGTTTGTCCCCAAAAATGGAAGTTCAAGAGATAATTATTAACAAAATCCTGATTCAATCCTTATGAAGAATTCTTGTTTCTTGTGCACTCGTTTTTGTGCTTCTCTTCTTGACTCTTCTCTTCTCTATTCTTCTCCTCTTTACTTTTCTCTACTCTATTCCTTTCTCTACGATTCTTGATGTTTTCCTGTCCACTCCTCTCTTCTCTTCGTTTTGTGCCTCCGTCCGGCTTCTGCCGTGTAGTAGTCTAAGAGCCACTGATAAGAATCAAATCTTGAGACAAATCCGTTTATATTGTTTCTTACGCACCGGCCATCATTCTTCTCCTTTTCTGTTCTCTCGTCTTCTCAAATCTTATCATCTCTATTCTTTACTCATTTTTTCTGTTCCCTTCTAGCATACACTTAGGGTCTCTTCCCAGTCTCTTCCCCGTAATTAGTAGTCTAGTTCTGGTCATATTGGTTCTTATTATTCACTGGTGGTTTTGTTTCTGTAATTACTCTGCTATACTTTTCTCATCATTTCTCTTCTATGCTCTTCCCTACTCTGTTCCACTTTCCGATACTCTCTTCCTTTCTAGTCTTCTCTTCTCTTCATTTCTCGTGCATCTACTCAATTAAGTCTAGATTGAATTCCCAAAAAAGATACCAAACACCATGTAGTGGAATCATATTTTAATTGTCCCGAAAAGAAAAAAAATCTAACACCATTAAAACAAACTAAGTGTGGATTACAACAAACAACACCAAAAAAGAGAGGCCAAACATCATGAGAAAGGGGAATCAACTCTGGCCTCCAAGGCACCCTTGCCGGTGATCTCGAACTGACAGCAGAGCTGGCATCTTCTGAAGAAACATATAACTTGGAAGCCCCAAAAAGACAGACATCACACAAATGTGGTAGGATTCTATATGTCTATCTTTTTTTTGGTTGCTATACATCTATAACTACAACGGTTTTGGATAGTTTTGGTTTAGTTTCAGGAAGTGCCATACATGTTCATGTTGCATGATATTGCACTGAACATGTATTGAAACTGATTGCTTCTTCAACTTGCAATCTTCCAGATTACAAAGTTAGCATCATTAAAATATGTCGAACTTCCAACTTGGATACATTCCAGATCTTTCTCTCAGCCTTCCCCAGTTCGTAAATATCCCCATTTAGATCCAGGTACTATCCTCCAGTAAACCAACATAGCTCTGCAAAATCACAGTGTTTAATAGATAAACTATGAAATCGACCATGATTCATAAATAAATAAATAAATATATATATATATAATATAATATATATATATTATACATATGTATACTATAGTCATACATTTGGAGGGTAACTTGTTTAACAGTGCTGCCTTGCCGCGCCTGCATCCCCTTGGCTGTGGCGATGGGCCATCCTTCCTCACCCAGGATCATGGCTTGCCCCTCCACCTGGCCACCACGAAACCCAGATCCAATATATTAGTCAGTTGGGATTATGACATTCCATGACATTCCCAATATATATATATATGGATATATATATATATGGATATATATGGAAAAATAATCCAAATATATCCAAATGTTCCAAACCACCAACCAGAATGATCGGGATCCATTGTTTCTGAGATACAATATACATATACGGTATATATGGGGTTGCGTCAAAATTCGGGTATGGATCGGCCCGCGGTGATCCAGACGTATATGGATCGGTCTGGATCACCTGCGTGTTGATATGGATCGGGGGTATGGATCCGCCTGTGGGTTTAGGGTATGGATCGGGGCTTTACATTTTGACTCGCAGCCATATATATATATACTACGTATTATCAATATGATATCTATCTCATATGTATGTATATATTATTCAGTATAATATCACAGAGTATATTTTCCAATGGTGTTGTTTGGTTCAGCACAGCTGACAAGCTCCACGGACATGCCGGGAACACGTAGAGCTGTCGAAGTGCATACCTCAGCTGACTTCATGGGTTGCAACTGTTCAAGGTCTCCACATATACCACATTTGATATCACTTAATATGATTTCATATGTACCTATATAGAATTATAAAATTAGTACAATCTAATATATATATATATATGATGATATACAAATACAATCATACAAATACATCACAGATGTGTCCACAAGCGCACATGGCTATGATATCCTGAGTCAAAGCATGTTTTCTGAGCTTCTTGCGTGGTCTGGCAATGACCACCTGGGGGATCGCCAGGTGGCTAAAAGACATCACCTTCAATCCTGGTCCCCAAAAAGAATCAAACGATCAAACATAGTATATATATATATACACATACAGTATATATTCATATATATTCATAAATATATATATATATATTGTAATTAATATACTTCATGAAACAAATCTGAAATCGCTTTAAGCCTTCGCCTCTTTTGGGTTTAGGGACTCCATTGTGGACTCCATGCCGTGCCGCCGTGCCTTTGCTCAGAACATCCACTGGGCGCAGGTTGTCCATGTCATGCTCGGCCTGATGACCAATATGGAGATGTCCTTTTTGTGGGCTACCCCAATAGCTGGATGGTTTATTTCATGGACGGGATTCACCGCTCAGTGTCCGAATTCAATGTCGCAAAGTATACATGAGTTTCTGCCCAGAATGTTTATTCATTTGGATGAGTCATCACAAGAAGAAGCGAACATTAAACACCACCAATGGCTTCAGAACATGTTGAATCAGGAAATTGTCCATCGGAAACAGTACTGAATATGCGACACGGGATAATACAAATGACTTGGGAAGGTCCAAACTCATCTTCTTTGGGGCTGTCTGATCAGTGATGATCATAATGATCACATGTATTCGTTTTGTTTCCAAACATTGGGTATAGCATGGTATAGCTATACCATGCTATACCCTCAAAACGTACATGTTATGCGAAGATGGATGAGGGATGACGAGGGGTGACAAACCATGATAAACTATGGGACTTTAGAGGTCGCCCAGCTAACCCATATTTTTGGGTCCTTTTTTTTTTTAAGCGAATATTGATCATATTCATCATCCCCAAGAGAGCTTTATTGGGGAAAAACCTCTAGATATCTCTAGACGATGATGTTATTGTATGTCTATACTATGACCCCCAGTTGGTTGGTAAGTGGTTGATGCTGCTGATGCCTCATGGGCGGTGACGAGCCAGGTGGGCAAGGCATGCACTGCTGCGGTGAGGGTATGCCTCAGTCCAAGTCGGCCCAAGTTGCCTAAGTTTCATGAAATTTCACCTCCGGTGTTACGAAACAATGGGTGGGAAATTTCATATGAATGCAGCTGTGGGAACATCATCTATAAATGGAGGCTTCAATGGGAAAATATGGGAAAATCATCAATGAATGAAGGTTTCAGAGTTTCAATGATAATTTAGTCTACAATCATCAATGCATCATTTTAATGGTAAAATCATCAAACATTCCATCGTGAGGGGATTACCTGTTTAGCAACAAATTCAGAGCCCCGGAATATTCACATTGCGGCCTGTTAGACCCTACAAATCCCTACAATCTTATGATTCATACATGTAGGTCTCACGGAATATTGAATGAAATTTAATCTTAATTCTAGCTTTAATATACATGTAGGTATTGGTATATGTTGGTTAA